TCTGCCGACGAGGGGGGTCGACGGGGACGCGGTTTTTTTATGATATCTATCACCACAGGACAGACCCCATCATATTGAAATTCAAAACGCTCTTTTTCAATGGCAGTGAAATCGACAACGACCACCTCTTACACTTTTTTCTCGTTGTCAAAACAGTGGTCATGAAGAGTCTTAACGCAATTTCGGCGAATTACTACAGCCTTCTGGCTGCACTCGACTTACTTATCACTAAAAAGGCAGTGTTGCCTGAGATACTAATTAGTGCAAAATCAATCGAGAAGTACTTATCGAAAAATGATTTGAAACAATACCAAAGTAAAGTCAAGAAAGAATTATATAATCTTGGCCGACAAGCCTCAGATTTCCTCCCCTACCATTTGCAGCGATTTTTGACCCACGAAGTGTGTACTGTTATGGGAGAGACTATTCTGAAAAACTATAAATTCCCTGTCACATTTCTGATTCGTGGATTTGTTTTACTCGTCAACGAATCAAAAGGCCTCAAGCTCCAAAGCTTCTTTGGGAAGAATACAAAGAAAAGAGAAATCATTGCTGTCGGAAAGGATGAGGTGTATATAACAACCCTCGACGGGAAGACTAAACGATCAATCCCATTAACACAGATCTCAATGTGGAAGGTCCACCAAGACACTGTGTTGTTTGACCACGGGCGGTTCGACCCACATCAAACAGTTATCAAGTTTGACACCCACAGAGAGGCGTCGGACTTTGTCAAGTTCCTCGAGAACGTTGTGAACGAAATAATGGATGAGAGACGTGGGAATAGTCGCCGCCCTCAACCCAACGATCGGATTGAGGAACTACTAGTGTAATTGTGTCTTTTTAATTTTTTATTCCCTCATCTGTTTGTCCATTCCACCACTTGACTCAATTTTGAGATTTTTTATTTGTTATAAACAAATTGTTAATTTACTATACACTGTTGTCTTTTACTTTTTGTTGAGAAACCATATAGAAACTATGTTATAATTATAAACATATAAATTATTCTCGTATACAATATAATAATATATTTTATTATATATATTATAATATATATAACTATAATGAAACGATAAAAAGAATTAGATAATAGTATCGGGAAGAAGAAGTGTTCTAACGTTAGTGTCTATGTCAAAATTGAACCAGCCCACTTTAATCTTTCCCAGTCTTATAGCCAATGTGTTAATATTCTCTTGGAGAGTATCAAGAGTTACATCTTTCACAGCAAGTGTTATTGAATTCTCTTTGTTAATCTTCAAGTCTTTTACCATAGCATCCCCAATGTATGTGTCCCCAAGGTATCCCATTATAGAAAAAGTACTCACCTTGATGTTGTGGTCTTTTCCAGTTGTGAAAATTAAGTCAATTGTTCCCAACTGACTGTCGACTTTATTGACCTTCCAGTCACTATGTAAGAACAGTGACTGGATATAACCAAAGTACAACACAAAAATCACTCCTAAGAAGTATCCAATAAGAAGTATAAATGAGATCGTGAACGCTGCGCGTCGCAGAATGTATGAGATGATCATTCACTATATTAAAGAGTCTTCTTCCTTCAAGTTTGGTATTCAAAGAAAGTCAACTTCTTCACTTTCTACTCGAATATATATAATTCATTATATAGTTATTTTAATAATATATAATAGTATCAGTATTTATATTTTCTTATTGATTGATAGTATTAAAATAGTTCTTTTATTACTTGTATTAAAAATAAATAAAGTATTAATAATTAAATTATATATACTATACTATTTATTATTAATTCTAGATGGTTCACTATTACAAAATCCCAAATATTTTAACTAAAAATAAATAATAAAGTTAGTCTGGAAACCTTATTTATTCCAAAAACCTTATTTTTCGACAAAAATAGGTTATTTTTTTGTTATTTGGTTTTGTTTTTCAAAAATTATTTTTTTTTTACTTGAAATCTTTGTTTTTTCAATTCAAACGAACTTAGACAAATTGACAAATTTGATTTTTTACGCTCAAACATCGCGTATAACACCAGAGAGTGGTGCCGTTGTTGTAAGCAGCGGTTGGGCGGATTTTTTTGTGTGAGATGACAAATGCAACACGAGAATTTGACAACAAACAACTGTTATTTCATCAAACAAAAATAAAAAACAACGAGACAATCATAATCAAAAGAACACCACGCTTGGCAGACTCGAACATTGAATTGTTGTACTGCAGTCGGGTAAAAGTTGTTTATAATAAATTGTCTTGGCTGCGTGGGTGTCTATTTGTTCTTTGTAAGAGTAGAGTCAGTCTTTTAACGTTATCTGGTGGACAAAAAATACCTTCATTTTTGTCTAAACATCGGGCATTAGGTAAAGCGTGAAAAAACCCGAAACAATTGGGATGCATTTTTGGGACTGCTCCCCGAATTATTCCATTTTTTATGGTCCAAAAGGTACCAGATATCGTTTGAGACAGACTGTACATTTAATAAGTCGACTCACGCCTTATAGCAAAATTCTTCAAAAATGATCCAAAAAACTCAGTTTGTTTTGTGTATTTTCCCGTTAATTTGGGGTAATAACAATATTATTATCACCATTTATTGACAAACAGAAAAAATGAAATGATTGGCTAAATAACTTTAACCCCATTTATGTTTTTGGTTGTGTTATTGGAAAATAGTTTAAATAATAGTAATATTTATTAAACATCCCAAATTTGCATTTTTTTCAAAGGGAAAAAAATAAATAAGGTTTTTGGAATAAATAAGGTTTCCAGACTGACTTTAGATTAATAGCAAGACTAATTCATAAAGTACATAATTATAATGAATCTATAATTATAGTAAATACAATCACAAACTATATTTAAATAGTATAAAAATTAATAAAAGAACCAAAAATAGTGAATTAAAGCAATTAGAACTTAAAAGTAATAATAAAGAGATGAGTAAGCAAGGGAAGGACAAGAAGGAAGTAGTAGATGAAGGCGCAGCTATCACCTATCCGAGTGCGCAGTGGGGGAACATCTTTGGTAACTATCTTTGGTTTGTGAATGCGATGTCGACGAATTTAGAAATAGCCCGAATCTTTGGGGAGAGTTTGCCTATAGGATCTCAGGATTTGTTTAGTTCGATCATATGTGAAGTTTTTAGTGAGTTTCATGTGATTGATGATTTCATAGAACTTCTCTTAAAAGAGGAATTTCAGACGAATGTGTTGACGGCAACACTTTTTCGAACAAATTCGTTGTGTACCAAAGTTCAAACGGCGTATGCTAGAAAAGAGTGTCAAGGTTTTATGATGACTGTGTTTCAACCGATCATTCAAAAGATCATTAATCTTCCTTATGCGCTTGAATTGGACCCATTGAAGCTTCAAAGTAGTAAACCGGGGATCACCGACGACCAAATGAAAAGTGAAATAGAAAGTAATTTAAAACGATTGGAGGAATTGTGCGATGAAGTCATCGCGACGCTTCGAAGACACTTGCGAAGCACTCCGCAAGCACTTTGTACGATCTGTCGACAAATTCGGGAGAGTTGTTTTCTGTATCATACGGATGACCCTGACATTGCGTTGTCTTTAGTTGGTGGATTTGTATTTTTAAGACTCTTTTGTCCCGCTATGGCCGCGCCTGAAGGAATGAATTTATCAGGGACGTCATTAGTCCCACCCACAGCACGAAGGACTTTAATTTTATTAACAAAAATCCTTCAGAACATCGCAAATAATGTCAGAGAAACTAAAGAGCCATGGATGATAGATTCCCTCAATTTTGTGATCTCTAGAGGACCCGCACTGC